TAGGCAATTTTAACTGAGGCATCCGTCAACGACGGCAATCTTTGAAAAATTAAAAATCGCCGGTGCAAAATGAGTAAAATGCCTTCTTTGCCCTCTTGCCCTCTCCTATATAGACTGGTGGTCAGAAGTTCGTTAACCGAGTTTAAGGCTATCTGTAGGAGTATAGCGGGACGCTTTGCTACATGGAGTTGCTGCACAAGCGCTTCAGCTATGCATTGGAAAGGCGACTTTGTCAACCGGGGAACCCAAGTGGAGGATCTTACGGGGTTGTCCTTGCGGACGCGAGGGTCCTTTTATGGGAACATAGGTTCTTTTTAACAATTTTCACAAGAATTGATGGGGTGACAATGTTTGGAATTTGCAATTTCAATGGATAATATAGAGAGAGCAATCACAAGTTGACGAGGCATTGCACTGATGTGCATGGGAGTGGGACGTTTGATCAAGATTTCACACCCTCCATCTACCTCGCACCTTGCCTCGCACATATGCAGAGTTGCCTGTGGGCCTGACTTCGCTTAATTGCATGCGCTGCCTAATGACCTTTGTGAGTCAATGCAATTAACATCAAAACAAACCAAATTTATTAATGGAAGATTAAAATTTATTGAACATAACAGTTCATTATTGATGGAGAACTATTACAGAAATTAAGTTATATAAAAAAATCACAAATCAAGTCACATCAAACAGTTGATTAGTGGAGAGAACCTTAACATAAAGGATCTTGTCATTTCAGAAAGGAATAAATCAAAAGCTGTTCAAAATGTTTGTGTTCAATATTTATTATCGTTTATATAATAGTATTCAATATTTTAAATATTAAAATTTGTTTAAATAATTGCTGGAATGACCTATTTTGGTGTTACTGAAGACTCATTAAAGTCATAAGAGTACTTGGGGTGGTATTTAATGAATTATCTTCCCTGGAGGCGGCCAACAATCTGTGCACTCTTGACACAGTGACCTATCTATGCAAAGAGTATTCCTAACACAAATAGCTGTTCGCTGAAGGTAGACATCAATAGTAGTTCATCGTTAACCGATGTATTTGTTCAGTTCACTTTTTCTATCAAGGCTGTTTTCACTCATCTAATAAGTGCAATTTTTACATAGGGAGGGCCAATAAAAGAAGACATTTTGTCCATACATTCAGATGGATTTAATCACACTTTCCTCAACTCAAACCGAATGGTACCAACTCAGAATTGATGAGCGCCTCTCATTCACATAAGAAAATCTTCATAAGCAGCCATCTATGTGGACGGCATCAGAAAAAGTCTTTCCACCGGAAACATGGTGCTCTGGTCGAACTCAATGGGGTTCTCGACTGATCGTGTACCTTTACGACGGGTTGTGAAGGGCGTCCGAGGGGGGTTGCATAGTCAGAGCTGAAGACCCTAAGGAACTATCCCACGTTGCATCATATCGAAGAAATTATGTAAGCGCTTCAGGCTAAGCAGTTACTGTAGACCTCTTTGAGCTCGACGACAGATGACGTCATATTCTGAGGACAGGTGAGGGTAGTGAAGGAGGGCCTGCGTGTACTTATAGAGGGACATTTAGGGAATATTTGCTAAGAACTTCCGTCAACGACGGCAATCTCTGCGAAGAAAAAGGCCGAAGTGCGACATGGGCAAAATGTCTTTTTTTTTTGGCCCTCCCCCGTATAATGTATGTGAAAGGGAAAAGTTTTGTGTCCGTGACCGCACAGTGATTTAGGTTTCACATAAATTTTATGGAAAGCACTCATGGATTCATGCTTGTTACAAAGACTTTCTATTTTTGTCATCTTCACTATAATATAAATAGTTTTCCTTAATGTTTTGATGTGATTTGCATCGACAGAGAAAGGTCATTGACAGCGCATGCAATTAAGTGAGGTCATCCCACAGGCAACTCTGCATATGTGCGAGGCAAGGTGCGAGGTAGACGGAGGTGTGAAATCTTGATCAAACGTCACATACCCGTGCATGAGCTCGCAGGAGCAAGCAGCACCTGTGTGTTGCTTGTTATAATGAATGAAACAATACGGTACATCGATACAGCAAGGATAGACGAAAATAACCGTCAGAGTGAAGAAAATGCATTGTTGTCGATGGATAGCTTCGCTCTTACTGTACACTACACAAAGCTGCACAGAGAGCTATTTATACGGGGTGTAACAGCAAACCACATGACTTCAACGGTAGTTGGCGAACAGTCCTGGCAATGATAAATGCATCTCCCAACACGCGCCCTTCTGACGAATTCGTTTTGGACGTGAATGGGAGGGATTTGAAGGACCCAGCAAATGAAGACTCACATTAAAGACTCTGCCGTACAAGTAGTTAAAGGCACGGGTCACGATCGAATTGGTGTGTTATTTTGATAGAGAGTTACACAATAAGTGCGAAGACGAACTACGGAAAACTAAAAAAAAAGCGAAAAGCATCTTTTTTGCCCCCCTCCTTATGTCCCGGCGATCTAGCATTTCCGTACCCGCGCCGCTCCCCGCCCACCCTTCTGCCTAGCCGTTTAGCAGAGAGAGCGTTAGCGTTGAAGAGGGCAGCACCGATGAGAGTCGCATCAATGCGGAAATCAACGGGCAAGGAAGGGGTCCATTTCTCGGGTTCTGGGCCGTTTCTCATGGTTTTCCTTCATCCCTGCACCACTGACCATCTCTACCTTGATTTCTAATGGGTTGCTTTTTTATTGTAAGCACCGCCTTTAAAAAAGGCATTCCTTCAGAATATGCAGTGTTCAGGACATCAATAAATGGAAATACGATTCCGTGACGCTGAGTTTACAATCTGCACCACATACGACAGGGTCATCGCCACGTTCGAAAACTTTGTAAACGAGACGACCCTCCCTGAAGGAAGTTTCTGCAGGACCTATTCACTCCCCCACCAGGTGGTGGTGTCGATAGTGTCGTTTAGTCCATACTCAAAAGCAAGGTAATATCTGCATTTCGTTCACTAATATACTGTCGTATCTCTAGTTTTGGTTGTATTCGCTTAGTTGTTTTGAACGTTGGGTATTCTTGGTATTGATGGTTTACAAATGCAAGCAGCAGCAGCTTTCCTCATCAAGAAAGAAAAAATTGGCTGGGCATTGACGATTTTGTCACAAGCACTCGTCGGAAGCAACTCAGACCTCATTTGTCCTGGAAGGGAAGGATAATTCTTGAAATTTTCAGGAAGTCGTAAAAACGGGATAGCCACACAAGGAGGATTTCAGGATGAGGACGAAAATCGAAGAAGGGTAAACTTACCCGGTGGGGACAGGCGGACCTCCTAAGGTGCGGACCGACACGCAATTCGCATCGAAGGATATGCCCCGGCGATCTAGCATGGCCTTCCCCGCTGCGCAATTGGCGCGGTACGCCCCCTCTCGCATCGTCTCGTGTCTGAGTCTCTAGCCGTTCTAGCAGAGAGAGAGAGCGCGTTTGCGTTGGAAAGAGAGAGAGAGAACTGCGAGAGTTCGCGTCATAGAAACGATACAAGCGAAAGCTTGTCTTCTTTACTACAAATGACATTAAACTGGAGCACAATTAATTATCATTTTATATATAACAAGGATGAAAATATGAACAATCAATTCCACTAACTAATACATTCTCTAGGGCGCTAGCTTTTTATCGAAAATCGCAAAAAAGCACTATAATGACGTAAAGAGCTGGTGAATGGGTTTGTGTAACGGATAAAAAATCGAACATTAAAAAATAATATTACAAAAATGCTGGATTAGTGAACAGACTGTTCGCCCCAGATGAGGCCAAGTCCGATGAAACTCTAAGTATAGAGATGAAATGGAATGTTCCGCGTAGCCTTAACTTGTAGCACACTTGCCACGGGTCAGCAACGGGGTGAGCAAAAGGTAGCAGGTTCGAGTCCCTTTCGAGGCGAAAGTTTTGTTCACACCCAGCATTCTTCTGAAACGTTCGCAAGGCGAAACTGCGGCCAAAAACAGCACTTAACAAACAAAATCAAATGTTATGAAACACACAGAGGCACCAAAATTTATTCCAAAAGAGTCCCAAAGTTCACAAAATTCGAAAAACTCCAAAATTTCATAAAAATCGAAAAGTCCAAAAAAGAATTCTCGGGTCTCATCCAGTAAGGGGGGGCATTGTGATGCAACGTCTAATAGCTGCCCTCACCCCCCACCCCCCTGAACTGGCTTCACTCCCCCTGGCTTACGGGGTCTCGTACTTCAAGAAACCTGTGCGCCAGGGGGAGTGTAGGCAGTCTAGGGGGGTGGGGGGTGAGGGCAGCCACTTGATGCCCCCTTACTGGATGAGACCCAATTCTTGATAACTTCTTTTTTTTGGGGTGCTATAGTTCGGTGTTTAACACCTTGAGCAGCACGTGTATGCCTCAGTGGAATTCCACTCCAACGGCGCGGCTCCCGTAAGGGCAGCTAAATCCTTGGCTGAGGCATACACATGCCTGAAGAAGGTGTTAAACACCGAAATATAGCAGAAGATTTCAAAGGAGTTCTTTTTGAAACTTTTCGTGTTTTTTGGAATTTTGGAGTTTTTCGAATAATTTGTGAACTTTTGGGACTCTTTTGAAATAAATTTTGGTGCCTCTTTGTGTTTATAACATTTAGGTCCTGATGAGGCTCCGGGACAGCACAATACTGAGAGAAACAAAAACAAGACAAAAAGCTATCATATTGCGCTGAAGGTCGATTCCTTGAGTTGAACTACATTGTTTTGAAGAATAAAGTAGTAACAACTGCTTAATGCTCAGCTCTAGCAGCAATCTAAAAATCTCCCAATTTATTTTACATAAATCACGTTCAGCTATAAATATTAATAGTTGTCGTCCTATAATAAATACAATTGAATAAAGTATCGACAAGGTTATTACGATTAAGTGACACAGCACAACCGATAAACCACTTCATCAGAAACATTATTAGAATTGTATACGACCTACATGTACCTATCAAAGTGACACTTTTAGTGAATCGAAATAATCTGGAATGTTCCATGGAAGGATGGAAAGGCACTAGTAACCCTTTGTGATGGCGGCTTGAACAGCTTCTCGAAGTTGGGTGATTGCAGTTTTCTGGCAAGGCGCCTTGACAACACCTGTGCCTGAGACGATCACATTCGCGCCGGCTTCAGCTGGTATCTGAAATGCCTTTCTAGGTCTTTCAAGCTTCAAAGCATAATTTTTGGTTTCTTACACCATGGATCATGAAGTAGCGCCACGCCATTCCTTAAAAATCAAGAGGAATGATATGAGAAGAGCGCAATACCACCCAACGCATTATCGGTCTCCGCAGGCCCAACAGCTCCCCTAGAAATTTTACTTGCTTCATTCCGGACCATTACGGTGGTGATGTCCGTTCCTCCAAGTGGTGCCACTGGGAACTGCTCACTTTTGTGGGCTGAGCTAACCACGGACATTCGAATGCAGGCGACAGGCCCCGTGACAGGCCGGCCTACGAACACCCACGTCACATCACAAATGTCAATGTCGCTTTATTGCGGACTTATTACCACAGCATTTTATTCTGCCCTAGTGATAACCTACCGACCTTCTAAGGGTGCAGACCGACACGCAATTTTGCATCGAAGGATATATGCCCTCAGCGATCTAGGATGGCTTTCCCCGCGGCCCTATTGACGCGCTATCTGCGCCGTACGCCCTTTCCCTCACTGTCTAACCCTCTAGCCATTCGGCAGAGAGAGAGCGCTAGCTTCGAAGAAAGCAGCAGCAATTAGAACCGCATCAACGCAGAGATCAACTGGATCCCATTTCTCTGGCTCTAGGCCATTTTTCTAGGTTTTTCCATTTTTCTTGCATCTCTAACTTAGTTTCCAATGGGCTGCCTTTTCCTTCGTGAAAGTGGCATTTCAATTCTGCGACGCTTGCTGGGTGTTTGCCTTTTCAGAAGCGCTCTTCCAAAAGAGAACAGCCTGTGTGAGAGTGATCGGTAGCTTTAGATTCTTTACGCAATATCAAATAAGGCGAAGAATTAAAGCGAGACCACGGCACTGCATGACTCTTTTGAGATGGCGCCGCAATATCAATACTTTCCCCGATACACACCTTCGACTACGCAAGCGCAGGCTAACACTCGCCGCGTAAGCCTACCTAGAATTTTCCAATTTTTTTGATAATTTCTGGTTTCTATCTGAGGTAAATCCCATTCGATTTGAATTACTTGCATTTCTTCATAAAGGATTTGTTTAACACTATGATGTTGTTTTATCATAAGGATTCACCTGAATATTTGAAGCTGATACACCGCCATCTACTTGAAATGCTTGACGATGAAGGCGTAAGCTTTCCTTCAACGTGGCGGACCTGAAAAAGCTTTCCATACAGTCCTTCTTATTCGGAAAGTATAACCAAATTTTTTTCACAGAAACAGTTACCTTGTCATCATTGATCACATGAATTTTCGTGCAGCCTCCAAATCCTGGTTCAACAGTCATGATCAGAGCCATGTCAATTTTGTCGGCAAACCTAAAATTAACGGGTTAAAGGCAGCGGCTACGATAGATTCGAAAAGGGTTCAAATGAGACGTGATGGTGCTCAATAGCACGCAGTGGCGAAAAAGCTGATGAGACCGCTAAAAACCGCAGAAGACGGCGGTCCCCTTCCTTCACGGTCTTTTTCACTCATGAACAGGTCTAACAGCTTTAGAATCGGACGTATGAACAGAGTTCACGGCAATGCGTTTGGTGGCAGCATACCAAACCACGGTCCAATTCGAGTTGCTCCAGTTGTGCCGCTGCTAACAACGCAGCTCGTCCAAATCACCAACTAAACCAGTGGGCGGATCGCTTTTGGGGGCAGAGGCGCCTTCGTCGAGTCCTGGCCCCTCAGCAACTGCCGCACCTATCGCCTGTGAAAATGCCACATGCTCATTTTCCTTGGCCAGCAAGTAAGAGATTCGTGTGGTATGCTTCCGTGATGCGCTCAATTATGTAATCGCTGCCTTTAACACGTTGACGACATTGTGCAGCGCATGCGCATCACAGCTTGAGCACCGTGTGGGACCGTGTGCAGCGCATGCGCTGCACACACAAATTATTAAATTTTTTCGCGCATGCGCTACTTCTTTTCTAATTTTTTGCATCTATTCTATAGACCACACCATAACATGGACTAGACACGGCAAGGTTCATCGAATGGTTGAATATGCTCCTTTTTAGCAAAGGTTTTCCAAGTGCTACGAATTTCCCAATTGTGTTCATTCCTAGTTTTCTTTAAATTCTGACAACCTCGGTCATAAAAAAGAGTAGTAAAAGCAAGTATAGACCTACACATATAGCAAGATACAAGTTTTTAGTGAAGCAACCGAGTCAAAAATAATTTTGAGGTCCACTACAGCAAGAGCTACTGAAAATTGCCTTTTCATTGCCAGAAAACGTCCATTCGATTGAACTTTTACAGTTGTTCCTTCTGAGAAGTTTGATACATCGAATATCATTCGAAACATTTTGTTGCATCCGGGTTTTGCATAGTTAAAGCTCAGAATTCACGGATTTTATGTGAAGCGGCGGCGCCTGCAAAATCGCTCTGGTCCCACGCGGTGCAAAAGCCCAAAACACGCGTTGTCGTCATGAGGAGTTTGAACGGTCAGGACCATGGGCGACAGCAGCGTGAACACTGTGGAGTAAATATGCAGCCACTACGACGTTTTACACTAAGGTTCTCAACTAGGTACACGCTTACGATTCCCATACCACAGTAACCCATTTGTTGTTGGTACTCCGGTTTAACCACAAAAGCCCGTCCGACGAGATGGTGGGGAGATACAATCTCCACCCAACCTTTTAAAATTTTCCATACCAGATACGCCTTCCAATGCGACCAGCTACTACGACCGACGTCGGTGTACTCGGTCAAAAAATCCTCAATAAAGCGTCATATAAAAACGGTTATGCTCACTGTGAGGGACTTTTCAAATTGGAGGTCTTAGAGTTTAATAGCCCCAATCCAACTTTCATTTTTGGCTTCGGTGGATCTGAAATCATGCAAAGGAGTTGTGAATAATGGGTGTAGTAATTTGCTGTTATAAATCAAAGAGAAGATTTGACATCTTCAAACTTCAAAAATACCTTGTCGATGAGTGATGAATACCTGCGGCATCACCACCTTTTTTCCTGTGAGCGGCTTCCCAGTGCCGACAACAGAATTCGATTGCTCATGCGCGGCCATTGGAGTCACAACGGCCAGGATCAGCCAACTAATACCAATACGTGGTATGGGAGCCAAAATCAACATTTTCGGAACTAAACTATAGCGATTCTGGAGTAATTTGGCTCAGGGGGCGGCGTGGCAGTCGCCCGCGCCCCCATGGCCATGTGCGACACTAGTGTAAGAGCTCGAACATTCAGCTTTTCACGCATGTCAAGTGTGGACTGCACTACCCTAGACTTGGCTTAGATTTCCTGCTCTGCACTTGACGGTACGCGAACATGGCGACCATCGAGCGGCGACTGCGCCACCCCCTTCCGAGCACATGCGCTGATGCGATCATGCCACTATTGCTGTAGTTTCCAGAATCTATCCATGATAGAAAAATGAAGGTATGAAGAAATGAGGAGTGAGCAAAGAAATCGTTCACCCACCATGAGATAACGATAGGGCAAAAATTGTCAGGTCCACGAGATTCTTCCGCAATGATTCCACAAGTGGATGGCGATGATAACGTTGTTCGGAACAAAGTGTCCATCCATCACATCCAAGTGTAACCAATCAGCACCTATACACGGTTTTATATAGAAATAATAAAACATTTGGGTGCTCTTATAGTTGGGGAGGGAGGACCACGTGGCAGCGCCGGCCCCGTTCGTATGCTTCTCCAAAGCCTAGCCCCAGGGGGCATTACTACTCTCGCGATCAGCAGGGGCAGTTCGCGGGAAATACACGCGAACGGGAGCTAAGCTTTGCAGGAGGCACGAACAGAGTGGCGCGCGGTGGTCCCCACAATTAGGAACAGCCCCAACTTTGTATGTATTTAGTAGGCATCAATTGAAAATAGTAAAAAAAAAGAAAGATTGTTAACTTTTTATAGCAGAACTGTCAGAACCTGCGCCGAGAAGCTTCCGACATTCGGCAGCCAAATTGGCGAGGTCTGCGTTTCAAAATCGAAGGGACAAATCGCTGGTCGGAGTGCCATACCTGATTATATGTATGGTACCTCAGTTTCAATGCCTGAAATTGTGTGAAAACTCAACACGGACCCACAGCTGAACAAATACTCAAAATTTTTTGCGTACCCAACCTATGAAATCACCTTCAACGGAAAATGAATTATTGATACTCAAAAATTCTCAAAAAATTGCTATACATAAACACGAATTCAGCTGTTCATGAGGTAGTGACCAAAACCACCGGAACGAAGCGTTCCTCGGACACTTTACCTCCATGAAAGACCTCGTCCAAACCAACGTTCCCGATTAGCCGCCGTTATGCAGTCTTGAACACATTCCGGGAAGAAAACGACGTAAGGTTAGAGTAGTCGTTAAAGCTGGGGAACTTTTGCATCCAACGGTATGGATGAGTCGATAGGCATGTTAGAAAGACACGTCATCTAAAATTTCATCCTCCCATCGAGACTAAGCAGCAAGCGTAAAAGTAACAAGGTTACAGCGTTCCACGAAGGCTGAGCTGCACCCTCAACTTAACTCTGCACGAAACATTCACGTTCTCAGCTCATGAAATTCCTCCAGCCCTCACCTCGGTTTATTGGCATTTACCATGGAATGCCATTGAACATCACTTGTACAAATGCAATCACGATAATTCCATAAGAATCGTTATAAGATCTTAAAGCCGTGCCCCAATATCGAATCATGGTGGTTCTTGCACACCAATAGAAATGCGCCGGCAGTAAAGAAGAAAGGAAACGATTCCGTCGAAAACGCCTAAGTTGAGGGCTAACTCACCTTCGTGATCGGCTTTTAGCTTACAAGAAAGTGCAGAGACTAAGCGCGGAGATGAGAGTATGAGGCAGGAGAGCGCAACAGACGAGACGCACACCGGACTACAACTTGATAAAAAGGAAAGATGCAGCTGCAGCAATACTAACAGGACGCAGAATGTTGCCCTGGTAAGAAGATCACAAGAGATCTCTAAAAAAAGCCGGGAATGACGCAACCAATTTGGTTAAAACACTGCTTGAATGATACCCTTACCTATTCTGTTCGAAAAAAATTGATTGAACCGCGATTTCACTTTACAGGAAAAGACACCATCAGAGGCCGAAATTTGGGATCAACCAGATAAGCAAATCATAACACATCTTTTTTGAAAATCTTATCACTCATCAGAACATTCATCGACTAAACAAATCATGTACGAAAAAGTGTCACATATGAATGAGGAAGCCCGCACAGGACCCTCCTCCATACAATGAACTGTATCACAGGCGACTGAAGACCAAAACCACAAAAAATAGGAATACATTCTCGAATATATAAACGAACAGAATGATAAACGCACTGCTGCTATAGACAAGCATACTACCACTCCTAAGGAGCGGATAATTAAACGAACCACGGTTTCATTTGAGCAAATTAGGGGAGGGATAAACTAGAAAAAGATATACCGTCACCTTTCGTAGTGACGAAGGAAAAATAACCATTCAAAAGAAACACATTTACAGAGATAATCAACATCGGAGAAGCCAGGCTGAGAAAATTCTGAAAAGCTACCTCCGACGTAAGAAGGCAACAATAAATAGGCATAGGTTTGCACGAGAATGATTAGAAATCTGCTAGGTAAACACCATAATTTACAAAAACACACTGGTACCACCCAGAGAAACATAGAAATAGAAATAACAGAGGCATATAGGAGCTTTCTCGGTCGCTGTCTTTAATATTCAAAAAACTTTGATCATCTCTTAAGCAAAAAACTGAGGGGGATAAAATCGTTTCTTATCTTTCCGTAAATCATTTATATTCATTATTGTGAGAACGAGCTCTACTCAAACGTGAACATTACGCACAAAAGGTATGAAAGGGGCGTAACTTCAACTCCTTATAAAACTCTTAAGTAAAAAACCGAGGGAAAGAGAAGGAAGCTCAGCTCAACTCTTCAGGTAGAAGAACACAAATATTAAGCAACATGTCACTACTGTTGCCAGTATTACTGCATCTTTTCGCTTCTTGTACTGAATTTTCTGCATTACATTGCTGATCATCGGGATATTTCTCTGAACATGGACTTATCACAATACAAAGCGAATAGAACAACCGTCGAAAATTTGGAAGTTTTAAATTTTAAAGGTAAGGAAAAAAGTAACATACTGGCCAGAGTGTCCATTTTCTTTCCGATCCCTCTTAAGCTCATACTTTGACGTTGTAAATTTTCTTTTGTCGCCATTGCTATGCTGAAATATCGATTACGTTAGCATTAATTACATCTCACTAGTGGCATGACATATATCCACTAGCCCACGTCTAAGAAACGTTGAACGTTATGACTCTAACCAAAGATTAATAAAGGTAAAATACCAATGATGAAACACAAGCGCAAGCGGTCCTGCAGGGAGTGTGGGAACATTTTTGCGTTTTTGATTTTAAGTGGCCAACGAAAAACGAAGTTCTCTCGAACTCATGTAATAAAAAAAATCGAGACTCATTTGAAATATTCAGTTTTTCTCTAGAAATAGTAAGTACACTTGGAATTTTCTGTTCCTTCATCATCACGATTCCTAGTCCTCGATGTTAGAAGGTGGTTCAATCATCAATTCTTATGCAGTTTTTATATGGATCACGATGTCGAGCACTGCACTAGCTCTTAACATGGAATGGTTATCAAAACCATTGCAGTCAGAGCCAGAAAACGCTGTTTCAGGCACTTTCAATCCCGAGGAAAAGCGCTTTCATCATAGAGATATTTTCTCACATCATTGGTCCTGTTTAACCCTTTCGGCCCTGGCGGTGGCAATTGCCACCACCAAATTCAAACGCTTGCATTGCCGCTGAAACAGCATGGTTTTTCTAATCCTGCTAGAGGTTGCTTCAGTCAACCTTCCCCTTCCTAATTATGAGCTAAACCTGCCATTTCATTGTGTGTTGCTGTTAGTATTACAAGTATTTGTGTACAAGTGCAACAATGAATGGGCGCTGACCCCCGCAACCGGCCAAGTAAGTGTGACTTTTTCTTAAAATACTTGAAGTAGATCCATTCCTAAATCAAAATTATGGGTTATAATGTTATGCAAGATTGTAAACCTTTTCGGCATAACTATGAAATTTCGAATTGTTTCGACATAAGCTTAAAAACTAAGAAGGTGGGACCAATTTTCAAAGCTTCTTTTCTTTGTTTGTGATCGAATAGCTTCCAAATTTCGCCATAATGATACCTATATGCTCACAAGTAATAAACAATAGCTAGAAGAAAAATTTTCTCCACGTTGCGTAAAAAATTCAGAAGTACCGAAAGGCTCTTAAAGACTAGGCTGCGACTAAAGGTGCATCGCCAAAAAGGCATGCCTCATCGATCAGCTAAGAATGAGACCTCGCCTTGTGGAAATACGCTGTATGAACCTTGTCAAATGTTCTGTCGGGGAAAATCCATTTTAAGGCTTTAGCTTCCTCAAACAGAAAGAAGTAGAAGTGACGTCATGGACGAGCACGTGCCAAATCATTCAGATTTCACATTATCCAGCGAAATGTGGACGCTGCTACGTACAAGGATATGGAGGGTTACCTTTTCTTCGTCAGAATCGGAAGGTGGATTGCGGTATGTGTTGGCAACGGTGTTTACCATCACGACCTAATAAAATGATGCAGGACTTTACATCTTGACTGCCAGAGCTTTCCGTAGCTTTTGGGGTTACAATTCTTTGACATGAAAGGGCCAAGTTACAAGCCAAAAATCACAGTTATACGAGTAATTTGTACGACTAGGTGAGAAATCAAAACGTCTGCTGCCAACATTCCAGCAAAAAAATCCATCGAAAACTTGATCTTATGCTCACAACGTGAACTTAGGGTGAAGGTGATGTTTATAGATGAATGATGTTCTGTTGTTTCATCATCACAAAGAATTTGCCGATTATTCGGATTATAGCACCACCTCTATATAAATGGCTAAATTTCTATGCTCATTCGTAATGCAAAGATTTCCTGGATTTTCTTACGCGAAATTTGGAAAAAAAAGTTCACGGTTTCTTATGTTTCGGAAAAAAACTTGCAAATAATCCTCTGCGGACGTAAGGCAATTTCGCATTTATTGGCTGCGATGGACCGAAAATGGAAAAGTTTCCAAACTTTTTTTAACGCGACAGCGAACACACTGTTCTGCGAAAGTTAAGGGAGGAAACGATGAAATAGTAACGGTCTCGTGGGAGCAGAAACAACAGCTAATCTCCAATAGATTACATGCATGACTTGCTTTCTGTATGTTACTGTAAGCAGTTTTTTCTAGCACGAATTAGACGTCTGTGTTGAGCAGTGATATTGCTCCGGGCACATCACGGAACAGTTTACATTTCTGTCAATTGAGGGTTTGCCAAACTTGGTCATATGGTTATCATAGCAAAACAAAACTGCCGACGTCACAACTCTCCCTCGCATAAAATCATCAACAAATTATGAAAAAAAAGTCCAGTGTAAAGCAAATATTACCTCATCTGCTCATCGATAAGTCGATCGCAGCTGCTGATGTGTTCATTTTCTTTGAGATATAAGTCAGAGCCTTTGACACGATTGTTGAGACAAGACCCATCCGGGTTAGATCCGCTCACACCACCGGAGAGCAATGATTCTCTGAAAGAGTTGCTTAGTGGGTTGGACTAGTAAGATGTACCAAGAAGTCGCACTGACTGCACGTCACATTATTCCGCCTTAATCTTCGGATGGAAAAGAACTACACTCATACCTCTGCAGTTGCTGTTGCACATTATCGCGGGCTCTGCGGAATTCCGTACCGTAGTCTCTCAAAATTCTCGCGATGCCTTCGAAGGGTATGCTGGACCGCGAGCTTTCCAACATGAGCTTTGAGTGAATTTTGATATGTATAAGGGACCCCAAGTTACAAGCCAAAATCACGAGTAATGAGTAATGTACGACTAGGTGAGAAACCAAAACGTCTGCTGCCAACATTCCAACAAAAGAATCCATCGAACATTTGATCTTATGCGCACAACGTGAACTAAGGGTAAAGATGATGTTTATAGATGATGTTCTGATCGATTCATCATCAACAAGAAATTTTGCCATTATCAAATTATGCACCACTCTAATAAATGACTAAACTCCTCATGCTCTCCGGTAAAGCGAAGTTTCCTGGATTTCTACGCGACATTTTGAAAAAAAAGTTCACAAGTTTCTTGATTTTCTCGAAAAAAAAAACTTGGCTAAGATATCCTCTGCGACTTCGAGGCAATTTCGCATTTATTGGCTGCGATGGACCGAAAATGGAAAAGTTTCCAAACTTTTTTTTTACCGCGACAGCGAACACACTGTTCTGCGAAAGTTAAGGGAGGAAACGATGAAATAGCTTAACTCAGAAACAACTCTAATCTCCAATAGTTACTGATACTTGCTTTGCTCTGTATATGTACTGTAGCAGTTTTCTACGCACGATTAGACTCTGTTGAGCAGTGTTGCTCGGCGTTAACACATCACGGAACAGTTACATTCGTCCTTGAGTTTTGCACACTTGTGTATGTTTATCATAACAAAACAAAACTGCCGACGTCACAACTCTCCCTCGCATAAAATCATCAACAAATTATGAAAAAAAAGTCCGTGTAAAGCAAATATTACCTCATCTGCTCATCGATAAGTCGATCGCAGCTGCTGATGTGTTCATTTTCTTTGAGATATAAGTCAGAGCCTTTGACACGATTGTTGAGACAAGACCCATCCGGGTTAGATCCGCTCACACCACCGGAGAGCAATGATTCTCTGAAAGAGTTGCTTAGTGGGTTGGACTAGTAGGATGTACCAAGAAGTCGCACTGATTGCATCACATTATTCCGCCTTAATCTTCGGATGGAAAGAACTATACTCATACCTCTGCAGTTGCTGTTGCACATTATCGCGGGCTCTGCGAAATTCCGTACCGTAGTCTCTCAAAATTTCACGATGCCTTCGGAGGGTATGCTGGACCGCTGGATTCATCGCCCAACCAGCCGAACTTTGCGCTCCAACAACATCATTCATCTAGATAAGGTAGACAATGAAATCAAAACTTAAAAGCTGATGAGCATTTCGAAGAAAAGACGTTCCCGAAAGATCCCGACACTTACACTAACCCAAACTGGACGTTCATCAGTACTTTAAACAATGTGGAACAGCCATTGTAGTCCATGATAAAAAATCGGTGACGGAGGGGAAACAGTACGTCAAATATTTACTCCAATGGTCAATTTATCTTGAACGGTTGAAAAACTAAGCTGTGATGGCGTAATCGGTGCACAATTCTAGTGACTAAAAAAGAGGGAAATAAGTCAACCCGTGCAAGTGATGCGTAGGATGTGAAAATTTCGCTGAATGAGGGAGTATTCCCTCGATGAGTAGCGAAAATTGAATGGGGTGAGGGCTGCAAATTATGGGCTTTGATACAAAAGAGCAAACTTGATTTCAGCTTCAAAGAGACAAATTAAAAACCTCATCATTGACGTGCGTCAGTTTCGTCAATAGTCCTTCTATCTCTTGAGTCAGCGTGTCAAACAGAGCTTGACGAGCGGATATCGACTTCTCATCACTATCAAGACGCCCTGAAAACAATTACGCAACTCTGTATAATCACTGGATGCATCGAATCTTCCGATTGAGCCAGGTCACCTCTAACTAGACCACCTCTGATTAGCTCGTAACAAGCCCGAGCCCAAAATTCATTGAACGAGTTCTGGTGCTCTGACTCAATCGCGATGCTTCAACGCTTTTTATAATCGTTTTCATGCTAAGATGGAGCTAATTTGTGAAGGAGAAAAATCATAGAAGGCATGCGCATTTAGGTAAGCCATGAGCAATCAATAAAAGCCTATACAAGAAAAATTTCAACTGAAACGAATATATGAAAAATAAAATAAATAAAGGTAGAAAAATACCACGCTCCCAACCTGCATGTGAATTTAATTTGTTCAGTGACACCAACTTGACGTCGATACTGTTTTCCGCCGACCGTGCTCGTTTGCGCAAAGCTTAAACAGAAATTTAGCATACATGCTTTTGAGAACTATAAACATAAATATAACACCCAAAAAGTGAAGAATACTATACTTTGTAATTATTCACTCAATTGGGAGCGCATGACACTTATCGGTTGATTAAGGTTTCTGAAGTTATTGACCAGCCTGTGCAGGCAGATCCAGTGGCACGTAACAATGGAAAAAAGCAATTAGCTACCAAAGGGCTGCAGGAAAGTATGTACGCAGGAATTTTTTTGTACTGAAAAGCTTAAAATGTGCAGCAGCCACTAATGAGGATGAAAAAACTCTGGGCGCCCGGCGTTATTTCACTCATTCATCAGACACCCTGTAAGTGCAATTTATTGCCTCAGCTCACAGTTATTGTTGAGCAACCGTTTCCCCAACTGCACAACTGAGTGGTAGATGCGTGCTGGCCGTGTGATCACGACGATTGCACGACTGGATGAGCCGCACGATTGATACGTATTTACCGCACACTGAGCGATCGAACGACCGGTCCAACTGAACTATAATTGCAGCCTGAGGAAAAACTCTTGGTCGAAAAAAGATTTTTTCATCCGTACACGTAACAAAACGCTCTTGCGGAGGCGCCCTTACTTAGGATCGTCAGCCGTGCAAAATGCTTCATGAGTACTGATACCAAACACGATAAAGGAGATAACAGGAAAACGTATATCATTACTTAAGTCGCAACTTATTTAATGAATCTTGGCATCTAATGCATGAAGCAGAAAGAACTGACCTTCCCAAATTTCCGACATTTTGGACAGGTATTCAATTGGACTGGAAAACGACGCCACTGTGCATCAGCTCCGGACTCTGTAAAAATGGTCAGCTCTCAGCTATAATAAGAATTATACGCTCAATGAAACCGCAACATTGCAGTAAATGTGGATGAAACACATTTTGAAGCCACATGAAAACCACACAAAGAAATTTTTTATTAAATAAGGGATGTATTACAACGTTTGAAATATATTGAACGAAAAACGACTATGAAAGGAAAAATATGTCCGCATGTTTACCATCTGCATAAGGAAAGGTTCCAAAAAAGTGTACAGAAAGAGAACACATACAAAATTGTAAACGATTTGAAAATACTGGACAAAATAGAGGTGGACGGCAAGGATAAACTTTTCTACGCTTCTACTTTTAGGAAATTCAAAGCTATGCTTCAGACCAGGAATACAAAAATGGAACTGAAACAAAAAAAATACTAACGAGGTACTCATCTAAATATATATGGCACTGCACTTCCACAAAAACTACTGCGTCAAGTACAAAAAAATTATGGGAATGAGTTCAAAAGACCATTGTGGCGACCCAGCCTCGGAGACATGCTATTACTTAAAGAATACAAACAAATAATACTTCGCTCTCAAATGATATCATCTCCCCTCGTGCAAAATTGGAATAGAGAACGCCGAACATGACGAATAAAGCTGCAGATCAAACGACCTGAATGGAAGCTGCCGCTGTCGACATTCCACAGCTGTGGAAATTATGAAGCGGGCGACCTAGGAAAAACCGCCAGAGCCGATTGCAGGTCCTCCAGTATCTGAAAATGACACGGCTCAAATGCTTTTGAATAGCATTTCTTAGACACCTTAGAGGACAAGAATACTGCAAAAGAACAGTGTAATAGGATGGCTGAAAACCGCCCTGTTTCTCGGCTATAATACGATCAAGGAAGTAAACAATTTGAAATCAACTTAGCAGCGAACCACCTTATCTGATGCAGCATCACAAGAGGAAGCGTCCATTTTCACCTCATCTTCGAACAACCCCAATGAGACATATTCATCAAGTGGTCCCAGTACAGTGGGATTGTAGGTTCGAATGCATGCTGAAATCCAGACCAAATGAGGTGTTTAGTTATGAACAATAGATATTCTGGATCAAAAAATTAACAATATTGTGCTCACTGCGCGTTTTATAGTCATCCTCAGTAGATTGCTCCGAATTGGCTATGAGAGTTCCTGCTTTCTGACAAACATCATCGCTTAGTAAACTTACATCGCAGTACTCCAGCAACTCCTTTAGAGAACGAGATCTAAACACAACCATACAAAAAGTAGCCAAGGAAACTTCACCTCAACTAGCTGTACCTCGGTGAATCGCCGCCAGATTTATACTTCCCAAGGATCTGCTCTATTAAGCCATCAGTAGTGCGGTCATTCTCTGATTTTCTCGGCGACGCTGAAAAGAACTTGCTGGATTCAGAAAGTGATCTTCATCCATCATAGTGAGCTTTCTTCACAAAGAACAAGAATGACTTGAATCATTTTCTCATTCGAAAAAAATCAAACAACACAAAGTGCATATAAAAACGATAAGACTTGTTAATTGAAAAACCTTCTGCGCCAGAAGTCTTCTTCTTGCTAACGCTTTCTTCTTTTACTTCTCGTTTTTCCACGCGTTTCAGTTTCTCCGGCAACTTCACTTCTCTTTTCGTCCTTTCTCTGTTATTCTCGGTTCTTCTTCTTTCTGGCAGCCTCTTCCGTGAAGGTAGGTTGCTAGTACGCTTTGTGGAGACTGGACGTCGTACGACAGTACTTCTTAACTTCGGGAATGTAGCATTCTTGGGGCGACTTGGAGGTGCGACGCGCCCATATTGAGGAGGTGGTGCAGCTCGATCACGTATCGCTCGCCGTTGTTCAAATATCAGCTCTTGTTCGCGTCGCCTCAGTTCTTGTTCGCGCATCCTCAGATTCACTTCTTCTCGTTCGAATCTTGCCTTCTCTACTGCATCCGGGGGAGGAGCGAAATCTAGCAATGACGGTAGATGACCAGAATTAGCTTGATATGCACTTCTGGAGTTTCGATAATCCGAACTGCGATTGCCCTAAAGCAGGCATTAGAGAGAACCACAGAAACGCAAGTCGATTATGGTGTATGTCTAGCACCATACAGTGCAGTGCTGACGATCTCGGGAAAAATCTACGCCAGGACATGGTCTTTCCTCATGGTTTTTTCGCCAATAATTGGCATTGGAGGTGTTCTTTGTCTTGAAATCAAGTCCAGCAGACATTATGGTGGGAAGTTCTAGGAGAGGAGAGCGATCAAGCCACACTGTTGTATGGCAACGCAACTGCGGATAAGGAAGAGTCAAGTGACGAGAGAAGAAAAGTGACGCAGATAGCATATAAATTTCACACGACTGAGCAGAATGCAGTTCCATAATCTATTCTCAATCTCCTTCCGCAACCTACCTCATTATCTTTTTCAAGCATTTCCAATTCACGTTGAATGGCAGCCACTCTTTCCTCTAGTTGGCGAGTCTCCATAACTATTTCTGAACAGATATGTTGCCATTATAGAATTGTTGTTGATTTTTTTCCACATGGAAATAGACAAACAGCTTAAGTTCTAGTGTAAAGCACATGACAAAGAAAAATCGTGTTTGTAAGGCTGAAAATCTCAGAAAGAACCACTCAAAAACATGAAAGGGCATGCATTCGTTCTCGAAATGTGGGACATCGGATCGCATTTTGATGCCAGCTTTTTTACAAGACAAAAAGCTGAAAGGCATTATAATATCTGAGTCATCTAGAAAGATTTGACATGCGCACATCACAGCATGCTCGCTGCAGTATAAATGAAGCTGTACAGTTGGCAAAAAAATCTAGTCGGCTTCCAGGAAGCAGCATGAAAAGCAAATTAGCACCTTGTCTGACTTTAGGACATAGTTAGTAGTTCATAAGCCTACATGGCCGTAGTAACTTACAGAATGCTAAGTTTCAGTGCCAGACCGACGCTTCCTGCCCCATTAGTAGCCAAAAATTGTTCATGATAATCCCAAAGTCCCCTTCATTGTAGATTTTTCACGAAAAATTCTTTCAACAGTTCGAAGTACGCTATTAGAACCAAACAAATCCATTTGGATAATCACTTCCGGACTTTAGGAACTATTTCCACACACATAACCTTTCACGCCATGCAAGATGCTACCTCTACATATCATATCGTTGTCAGAACTCAATGGTTAGATGTGGAAGTCCACAACTTCCCTTTTCGCTGTATGAATTAGGTATTTTGGGAGAATGGTGGAAACAAACCAGAATTCACAACGCCGTATGGCCCCATATCAATTCCCGTTCCACGGGAAGATTCTGCACCTTTGCCGTAGCGATAACGATCTGCTGCTGCTCTTGTGGAAGGCTGACTTTCGTACCCATTTCGAGGAGCGCGGTGATCACGCTCGCGAGGAGCGTTTGGAAAGAAAACCATGCTCGCTGGTTGCTGTGGTTTGTATGCGTTGTACCTAAAATAAGCACTTGTACGGAGATCTTCAGCGAAATGTCGAAAATGATGGCCTCACCATCCCTCATCCAAATACTTATACCGATTGCCATTGCTATCCGATGCTCGACTACCTGCTCCCACATTGTCGTCATTTCTTGGATGAGGAGCACCTCTAACGCTCTGCAATTAGACGAAAGTTTATGTGGTTCTTTATTCCAATAAGCGGTAAAAAATAGTTCGTTTATCTATGGATTGCTCTTTCTTTTTCAAACAGAAATTAATCTATGATCAGTAACAGACAAAGGAGAAAGCGATCAATTTTCAACATTCCAGTGTAAACTGTTGATGCAATTGTTGAAATCACTGAAAGGAAACCGATCTTTTCATGTTCATGGACGCTAAGATGTATAGTTGAGAGCGCAGATGTCGGAATAGTGCTCACCATGCATCACCATTTTGTAATCGAAACAACTCACATCTCTTGGACCGTCTCGTCTGACTCCGTCACGTCTATCGTACTGACTATTTGCGCTTCGCCTAAAAAGTCGATCTTCTGCACGAAAAATCGTGTTTAGAAAGAAGCCAAAGCGGCGCAATGTGCCTCCAGCGAAGGTGGGAGGGCAGTGTGTGGTGGGAAGGCTACTAGGGACAAGCCTAATGCAGAGGGACGAGTTCCGAAGGGAGTGAAAATTGCTTACATACCTCGGATTCCCCCTTCCAGCTCAGCCTTAAAACTGAGCGTTTCCGTGCATCCGACGCAATGTTACGCGCTGCCCCCTCCCCACAGCCACACTGCGGCGCAGATGCAAAGCCGATAATTAGACAAACTTGTCAGTGCGGTCCATTTCACGACCACTTGTTGGATAGTCCCTTTTCCTTTCTGCTCCGTAGCCACGCGTTGAAGGGAGCTCCTAAATGAGCTCAATCGCATATAGCACTGACCAGGCAAACGAGTACAAAGTTATGCAGTTACATACAGATCCTATCCCGTTTCTGTAAGTTGGTGGAGGGACAGGAGCATCTCTCACACGATTGGAGCTTCTTACCCTGGAAAGTGAACGATTTCCTGATTGTAGAAGGCTTCAAACACATAATCAAAGAATCCAAACATACCTATTTGGCTCATACCTAGGAAAGAACACTTCTGGACCACTTCGATACTGCTGCGATGGAAAAGTGCCACGAGGACGGCTTCCCATTCCGAAGCTTTCAACAAATATAATATAGCAGCATTAATTCACGTACATCAGGGACAAACAGAAGGATGGGTCT